CTGGTACCAGGCTGCAGCATGCCAGCAATCGGTCCACACAAACAAGCAAAGCCCCATCCATGGGATGCAGACAGCACACAAAACCACGCACTCTCTGGTCCGTGGAAAAACCTTTCTCCACGGAACCAGTCCCTGGTGCCCAAAAGGTTGGGGACCTCTGCTCTAGCAGTTTATGTTTAAATCATGCATTTACTTGTAAGGACAGAACATAGCTGAGAAGCAGCTAAAAAACATGCATAGTTTTTTGTTGTTTAAAAATCCATTATTTTGTACATATTAATACATGTATCTAATGACACCAGCTTCAAAAAGGAACTTGCTATTATACCACTTAGCAACACTTAAAATAATGCCCTCTTCCTTTCAAAATAACATTTTTTTGAAAAATTAAACTTCATAAATGCCTGAACTGTGACAAGAAAATATGCTTGTCAAGTAATAAAAAAACCTTTCAGCAGACTAATTTGACATTAATGCTTATTATTACTGTACTCAGAAATCCAAGCGGTTTCTGTCACTTTATGATCACACTCTGTAGAAATATAGGAAACAATCTTCAAAATATGCCAGATTTTTTTTTTTTTTGGTAGCAGAGCACATCTCAATAGATTAGAAACCCTACACAATTGTATGCAAAAGCAGGATCAGATTGTGTTTGATGAACCCCTAGGACAGTGATCGCAAACCTTTTAGAGACTGAGTGCCCAAACTGCAACCCCAAACCCACTTATGTATTGTCGGGTGCCGGGTGGGCGTGGCTCATTGGGTGGGTGTGGCCAATTGGATGGGCTTGGCCCATTGGGTGGGCATGGCTGCGGTGGTAATGGAAGACTGGGTGGAACTAAAAAGTTAAATCAATCAATTCCAACTTTGCGAGATCTTTTTTTCCCCGCAAGAAGTTGATTGATTGATTGAACCTTTTTTTTTTTTAACACGGCAGAGGAGGCCTAAAGCGAAAAGGTTTTATAAAACCCAGCTGAAGACCTAGGACTGGGGCGACAGCGCGCGTGCCCACAGAGAGGGCTCTGCGTGCCACCTGTGGCACACGTGCCATAGGTTCGCCACCACGACCCTAGGAGAACAGAAATTAACATCATCTTTATATGCACAATCATATTACAAGTTTGAATGTATACTTCACTGTAGTTATTGAATCTGGGTTCTAAATATGTAAGGGAGAAACTGTTACATATGAGAAGTTGTTACATAAGTAGAAATGAAATTTGAGAAGGATGATCTTCCTCTTCTTTACATCTTGGTGTGTTCATATAATTTTACATTTTCTGCAAAGCAGAAATGTAATGCCTTTAAAAAAGCAACCCTTTAAACAAATGTATTGTTTAATACATACCTTTTTTTTAAAAAAAAAATTACTAATGGTTAATTTTGCAGTGGAAAGGGGAAGCAGAGTAATTCTTGTGAAAAAAATGATTTTAAAGATTTTCATTACGGTATCAGTTTAAGTTGTTTTTAACCATTTACTCATGTCTGGCTCTTGGTGACTTTATAGGCAAGTGCTCTCCATGCTATCTTGTCAAGCACAGCTTCTTTCAATTGTTGAATTTTCAACTTTGAATCAGATCTGATGTTATCAAGCCAGTGTGCTTGCTTGCTCCTTCTTCTTTGTCCACTAACCATTCCTAGCCTCATTGCCTTCTCCAATGAATTTTCATGCATAACATGGCCAAAGTAAATCAGATGTTGTCTTATGATTTTAGCTTCCAGTAATGTGTCTGGTTTTATATGATCTGTTAGTTACTCTGGCTGTCCATGGTATACACAGTAATTTACTCCAGCACTACAGTTCAAAGCTCAGTTTAAATCAGGGGTGTCAAACTCAATTTAATTGAGGGCTGCATCTGCATTGCGGTTGCCCTCGGGGAGCTGGGTGGGTGTGGCCAGGGTGGGTGCAGCCTACTGGGTGGGAGTGGGCGTGGCCTACTTGGGTGGGTGTGGCCAGCTCTACATTGTTTGCGTCAAGGGTGCCTGTGGGGGCCTGGACAGGAGTGGGACAGATCTCTGGCAGGGTCTCTGGCAGAAGGGGGTGGGACCAGGGCAAGTGCCAAGGCATGGTCCACTGGAGGACCCTCACTGTTCCTCTCAGGCCATGCAGGGGGGGAGCTAAGACTGAATGCATTTCAGCATAGATGGCCACCACAAAATTGTACATTGGCTCCAAGCTGGCCTGGGCCAGAGCTAAGGCAGCGGGGGCCGTTCCCTCACTGTTTCCAGGATGGCTTCGTGGGCCGCATCCGGCACCCGCATCCGGCCCCCTTGCAGGCTGCATCCGGCCCCCGGGCCTTGTGTCTGACATGTCTGGTTTAAACAGTAACTGGTTTATCATTGCATTTAATCGTTCTTGGATTATAATTTTATAATCCATGACTTACTTAGACTCTCTGGATGGGTGCAAGATATAAATCTGGTAATAAATTTGAATGCACCTATTTTTTTTTCAAAATTAAGTTTTCAGAATTGAAGTCACCTCTATTAAAATATAGATATACCACAGCCTTAGGAAACAAAGTTATGCCATAGGATTTATATGTCATGTATATGTCATTTACTAGTACTGGACAAAAAAAAAATCTGCTCCTCCTTCTCAACCTGACCAGAAATAATTTGCTTTAAAAATTCTTTTAAAGGGGACAAAAATCAGAAATTCTCATGATTGGAATGGTTTGTTCTCACACTTATTTAGCCAAGAGCTGCATGCTAGTCAATGTGCAATAATTGTTCCAGGATCTGCCCTTTTTCTGGCTTCCTGGACTTTATTAAATTCTACAGGATATGATCGTAAGGAAATCCCCCGTCTGTTGTACTTTTCCTGTAATTATGCTGGTGTTATTTTCTGCCCTTGAAAAATGACTGGAGAACTTCTTCTTAATTACTTCTTCTTAAGCATTTCTTCTTAATGTCTTCTGAGCAATTATTAACTCAAAATCTACTCAAAGAATGTCAAAAAGACATTTTTGTCTTAATTTATTGATAGTTGTATCATCTCAGGGGTCTCTCAGGATTATAGGAAGGAACAGAACAGCTACCAGATGCTCAACCTTCATTAGCTGTAAACATTCTTCCAGAGGGCCATCAGTCTAGAACATACTTATTATTATTATTATTATTATTATTATTATTATTATTATTATTATTATTATTAATAATAATAATAATAATAAAGTTGAAAGGGACCTTGGAGGTCATCTAGTCCAACCCCCTGCTTAGGCAGGAAACCCTATACCATTTCAGACAAATGGCTGTCCAATCTCTTCTTAAAGACTTCCAGTGTTGGAGCATTCATGGCTTCTGGAAGCAGGTTGTTCCACTGAATAATTGTTCTGTCAGGAAGTTTCTCCTTAGTTCTAGGTTGCTTCTCTCTTTGGTTAGGTTCCATCCATTGCTTCTTGTCTTGCCTTCAGGAGCTTTGGAAAATAGCTTGACTTCTTTGTGGCAGCCCATGAGATATTGGAATACTGCTATCATGTCCTCCCTCGTCCTTCTCTTCATTAAACTAGACATACCAATTCCAGCAACCGTTCCTTGTACGTTTTAGCCTCCAGTCCCCTAATCATCTTTGTTGCTCTTCTCTATACGCTTTCTAGAATCTCAACATCTTTTTTACATCATGGTGACCAAAACTGGATGCAGTATTCCAAGTGTGGCCTTACCAAGGCACTGTAAAGTGGTATTAATATTTCTCGTGATCTTGATTCTATCCCTCTATTAATGCAACCTAGCACTGTGTCGGCTTTTTTGGCAGCTGAAGCACACTGTTGGCTCATATTTAAGTGATTGTCCACTAGGACTCCGAGATCCCTCTCACAGTTACTGCTATTGAGCAAGGTACCTCCTAAACTATACCTGAGCATTTGGTTTTTCTTGCCTAAATGTAGAACCTTACATTTTTCACCATTGAATTTCATTCTCTAAGATAGTGTCCAATGTTCAAGTCTGTCAAGATCCTTCTGTATCTTAAGCCTGTCTTCTGGAGTGTTGGCTATTCCTGCCAGCTTGGTGTCGTCTGCAAATTTGATGAGTTCCCCATCTATCCCTCATCCAAATCATTGATAAAGATGTTGAAGAGCATGGGGCCCAGAACAGAGTCCTGGGGCACCCACTACTCACTTCCCTTCATGTAGATGCAGTTCCATTGAGGACCACACACTGAGTACGGCCAGTCAGCCAGCTACGAATCCATCTGGTGGTGATGCTGTCTAACCGACATTTTTCTGTCTTATCAAGTAGTAGGTTGTGATCTACTTTATCAAATGCCTTACTGAAGTCCAAATAAATTATATCCACAGCATTCCTCTGGTCCACTAATTTTGTCACTTGGTCAAAGAATGCGATAAGATTTGTCTGGCATGATCTGTTTTTGACAAACCCATATTGGCTTTTGGTAATGAGTTTGCTTGCCTCTAGGTGTTCGCTGATTTGTTGTTTGATTATCTTTTCCAGAATCTTCCCAGGTATTGAGGTCAGGCTGATAGGTTTGTAATTTCCTGGATCCATTTTTTCCCCTTTTTTGAAGATGGGAACTACATCAGCTCTTTTCCAGTCCTCCAGTAGTTCCCCAATGCTCTATGCTCATTGTGTGTTTTTGCTCATTGTTGACCTCTTAGAAGGTGGCCAGCTAATATCATAAGTGGTCACAAAATCATTGTCCTTTATGTGCCATGCAGGTTGGCTGAATCAGAGACAGATAATCTGCATCATAACATTGAAGAATTATATGGGATCTGATTTACAGGAGGAGCTGTCAGAGCTTGGAGTAAGGTCAAGATGCCTCTTCAATAAGGGATAAAAAGTGGAGAGAGAAAAAATTTGCAGGGATTCAAAGAGAGTGTAAATGACAGGCATAATTACAAAAAAGAGAGAAAGCACAAAAAGTCACATGTCTGGACAGCTACATAAATTGAAATGATTAACAGAATGGTGAATTCACCCAGAGAGAGTAGAAGTAAACCAACTGCTCAATAAAACAATAAAAGAAACAAATATTCTTTTTGTGATCCATTGTGGTCATGAGTACTTTATTAGCAGAGAAACTGTCATACTAACAGGTATAAAAGTAGGGTAAAGCTGTGTCTTAGAAGCCAGAGAGTAATCAACACTTTTTTTTGTATTGCCTCCTTTCAGAAATATACAATGGATGAAGACAAGATGGAACAGGCAATTAATCTAATCCTAAATGCTATAGGTGCATCTTCAGGGTAATTCCATCCTGTAGTTATTGTTGCTCTGAAAGTTAAAGAAAACAAGTTAAAGAATTTCCATAAAAAGGAAAATGAGCAAATTAAAAAAAATGAGCTGAATGTTAAAAGAAAGCTTTGCTTTAAGAAACACTGATATAACTCAGTTGTTATTAAAGTATTTTTTTAGTCTGCTATTTAATTAAAGATTGCCAAAACAGTTTATGGGTTAATGAAGACAAGGTAATAATTGCTTTCTAGTTTTCAGTCAGAAAAGTCACAATACAAAAAGGAAAAAGAATGGAGAGGGAAAGGGAGAAAAGGCAAATGCTTAATATGCTTATGTTAAACTGCTGAGATAAATGGGTGACTCATAGATTAATTTTTTCCTTAATTTCTAAGGTAACATCTGTTATGTTTTGTGAACTGAACTTGGTAATTTTGTATGTACCTGGTGCATGTTTCACCAAATATATGTATTTTTGTTTGCAATGTTCCTAATTTTGCCAGCAAGTTTTGTTTATACTACAGATTTTTAACCAAATAATATGAGAAGAGTATCAACAAAAATGCCTAAATTTAATTGACAAAGTACTTGTGAAATGTGGAAAATGGAGATTACCCAATTTTAATATTTATTAGAAAATGCAAAATTAGGCACTTCTCACATTCTGCACTGAATGTAAACAATAATTTCTTAATCCTGATTCAGAAGTTCCTGTTTGGTTTTAAGGAACAGTCCGGCAGTATGATTATTCTTCCTGTTTTAACTCTCCTTGTGGATGTACTTGATATTTGTCTGCTTTTTATAACTCTCACTGGAAATTATAAATTTTGGGGGAAAGTATAACTCAAAGGTCCACCAATTTTCATCTCAGGGACACAACTTCTCTTTGCTAATACTAGAAAATTGCAAATATTTCAACCATATTTAATATTTTAAAGGCTTGGGACTTTCACTGCCCAGCTTAAAATAGTGAATCTCACTATGAATTAGGCAAACACTTCTAATTGCTGTAGTGATTTAGGAGACAAAATAGATGCCTCAGTCTCTGCAAGACTTAGAGCTCCTGTGTTGCCAGCTTAACATCCAAACCTCTCCAAAATGGAGAGAGAGAAAGAGAGACAGAAGAAACTGAAAAGGTCAACCTTTGCCAGTTCAGTGATGTCATGACATCAAACATGGCTTCTGCAAGATGTAAGGAGAAATAGTAGCCTCTTTGTTGAAAAAGTTGCATAGCCCTGCTCTACAGGAAGCCAGGAACTACATGTTTCTGTAGAATACTCAGTTAGTGTCAACATCCAACTCAAGATATTGGCAACTATGTGCCTCTTTGTTTCAACTTGCCAGTTAGTACAGTTAGCCTACTGTCATCTTAATGTCCCCATAAATCTTATTGGCAAGGAGTAATGGAAGTATCAGGCTAACATATCTGAAAGGTATTGCATTGAAGCCAATTGAAGAATTCCAAGAAAGGGCAAAAGCAGGGTAGTAAAAAAAAGTACCTATGCTAATCAAGGACTAATCATGTTTTTAATAGTAAGGTATGTGCTAATCAAGGCAACTCGGCCTTTATGCAACTGCTTGAGTATAGTTCTGTGGATTAAGCTATCTGCAAGAGCAGCCACTACCATGCTGCTTATTTGTACATGGGGACTTTGCAAATTCTTATAAGTAAAAAGCCTCTCTGAGATGTTAATTTTCTTGAAGGGAATCTTGATTTCCTCTATCCCACCATATTAATTGGAAATACACCTAGATGCTCACCTTCACAGTGCCCCAATCTTCTTTAACATGGTGGAAAGTTCTCCACTATCGTTTAGAGCATCTAGATCTGTAAAACCACCAATACATGATTTTCCAATAAAAATTCGAGGAACCTAAAAAGCAAGCATAACTTATTAATCAGAAGACAAAATCTCTTTAGACTTCTGAAACAGGAACTTTGAATATTGGTGTTAGAGTAACAAATGATAAGGTACAAAAAAAAAAAGAACAGGCTATAAGCTGTGTCATTAGCTATGAGTAAAAGGCATGCCAATAAAATAAAGCCTAGACATTTTATTATTATTTATTTAGCACTGTCCACCCCAATAGCCTCCTGGCAGCTTATAAAATCTAAAAAAATAAATAAACAGTAAGAACATTAAGAACAAAAAGACAACAAACAAAAATCAACCACCATAATAATAAGTAAATCGCTCATCACTTGGGGCCTGAATGTCCCAGATCATAATCCATTCCGTGGCCAATTATGTTACTCTTCATATAGTTGTGAAGAACATTCAGGCCATTTTTTTTCTTTCCTATGTTCCCTTTGGACAGAGCTGCACTTCAAGCATTCATGCTGGAAAACCTGCTGGTATAGCTCTAGCTGGAGGTGACAAAAAAGTTTACAAGACTTTGTGGGTCAGATGGACCAGACAGACGAGTAGCTGGTTTCCTGTCTCTGATATATGCCAGAAAGCATTCAGTGTAATAATGGAAGGAAATGGGATATGGAGAACCCAAGGCAGATTAACTCTGCTTGCTCAGAACTCTTAGAATTACATATAGCTGTGTCTGCATCAACTTCATATTTTTCAGTTTAGTAATTCTCTAAAAATGCTACAATTCCTACAATTCCCAGTCAATATGACATTGTTGAGATTATAGGGGCTGCAGTTCACCATATTTAGAAGGAGTTCAAGCGTAAGAGTCTATATATTTTGTTTTACTAATATATTTTAAGTTGGGTTGAAAAACTCCAAAATAAATATTTTGCAATGGAGATAAAAGGCAGACAAGTCGATCCACTACTACAACGGTCTGTCATAAGACCTAAGATTCATCATTCAAATTTTATTTACAGATTTTCATCCTGCCTTTATTATTTTAAAAGTAACTCAAGGTAGCAAACATACTCAAAAAAATTTCCTCTGTGAGTTGGGTTGGGTTGAGAGACAGTGACTTGACCAAAGTTATCCAGTTGGATTTCCTGTGAAGTCTGGACTACAACTCACAATCTCCTGGTTTCTAGACTACCACCTAAACCATTACACCAAATTCTGTGCTAAAGAAGATATACCTGCTCACTGTGAAACATCTTTGTTGCCCATCTAGAATAATTACCCAAGATGTCAAAACATTGTGAAATCAGTTTACAAAAGCCAAACAACAAAGCAGGAAGGAAATGAGCCATGCTTTTGGAAGGCATTGATTTTGGGACTCTGCTCCATTTAACCAGCATCAGTTTTTTATATTCATGACATTCTATTTTGTAATACAAATTGTTGATTTTAAATAAACTTGTGTTCTTAGAAATATATGGGTTCCCCACAGTAAATGCAAAACAGAATAAAGTTCAGAATTACCATAAATTGCCAAAGATGCTTCCATTTCTATAAGGCTTTCAGGAGATGCCCAGTGGATCTATTTTCACTCACACTGCTTCTATGCCTTTTACATGGAGTGATTTATTAAGTAAAACTAGCTTCTTTCACTCCACAGTACCTCCTTCTTGGGACAAGCAAAGGGAAGAGATACTTCAACCATTAAGCAACAGAGTAAAAAAGATATCAAGTTGGTTTCACATTTGTTGCTTGGGGCTATTCTCAGGAAGGCAGAAATTTCCCTGGCCTATTTATCATGTGTTCTGAAGGCTGAGAAATTTATTTGGCCCTTGCTTTGCACATAAAGAAACATTTTAGTTACATAGCTGTAAACAGGAAGTAGGAATCCGGTTTTCTGTTTTCTCTGCTGCAATATGAAATAAATTTATATGGAACCTCATCCTTATATAGTACAAAACTTATGTGCAATGCAGCTAGTTCGGAACACTTATATGATATTTTCCTTTAAAGTATGTCTGCTGTGTGAGAGTATTTCAAATTCTCTATTTCGCTGCATACTGCTCACGGTTAAGTTGTAGAATTCCAAGATTATGGAGTGATCACACTATATTTTCCACAAAGAAACAAAACCCTATTTTGTAAAAGATTTCTCAACTGTTCTAAATAATGTGCACCATGACTAGGAAAAAGCAACACAATTTTCCCTCCCAAATGATACTTGCACTTACTCAGTGATATGTGAATGTACCTCAACCTTCATCAGCGTAGCATACAGTAGACAACTCCTAGAATAACCACTAAGAAAGTTGGATATGTATGTATGTATGTATGTATGTGTGTGTGTATGTATGTATGTGAAAGTTAAAAGCAATATATTAGTTTATACACTACTAAAACTCTCACTGTTTGTAACCTTCAACTAGACAAATCCTTATATCATAGTGCAACAATTTTCGAATCAACATACCACAAATGGGCTGACTTAAAGAATGCATCCAAAACCCACCATAGGACTGAAATTTGGCAAAGTTGTTGCTGCTTCAGCACCACTGCTTCTCCCGGCTACTTTTCCAAAAGCCCCATAGACTACACAGTGTAAGGGAAGATGAGAGGGGTATATCCTCTTTTCTGCCCCCCCCTCTGCCTGCTGTGGAATTGGTATGATCCAACAGGCAAGAGTGATTAACTGCTTTGGAATTGAGACCAAAATTTGAAATCTCTTAATAGTGGTGGACAGTGAGGGAAGGGCAAGGCAGTGATTTGGATGCTGCTGGCAAGGTAAGGCTGACTGGGGGATGCTATCAGTCAATGGGTGAGCCTCTTTCTCCCTGGAGGGATGGGGAGTAGGGATGCAGTTGTCCTTATAGTCCTCAGTCCTTTTGTTTCTCCCCAGGAAAGAGGCAGGAAATTCCACAGCTTAACAAAGGAGGAGGAGGAGGAGGAATGATTTCTGACATTCTCTGCCAGCTTCCCACAAGCAACCTTAATTGGGAAGCCAACAGGAAGTCAGAAATTCATCCCTTTCCCACTATTTTTTCCCCCTGCCTGTGGTCATTTGGTTTATCTCTGAAAGAATGATTCAATGGCTCATGGGTTGTCTAGTCATTTATATTCCTGTAACTTAAAAAGGACATTGCAAAGATAGATCCAGAAATTAAAATTTTACCCTCCCAGTCTAAGATACCAGGTAAGGATGTTGCAAGGACAGAAGGGAGCAATGCCCTGAGCACTACACATTGTGAGCAGGAGCCAGATGAAGAAATAAGCTATATTTAGATGCAAAGAGCACATAATTCACTCCCCCCCCCCCATTATGTTAGATTATGAACAACCCATATTACTGTTCAATAGCTGTAAGAGCTCAGTATTGCTTCCCTTTGCAATCACAAATTTTATTTCAGGATTAGGTTCCTATCTCACTAAACCCAAACCATGGTTTACAAACAGAAACTGGGTTGATTCATAACACTAAACTAGCTCCAAATAAACCCCATTTACATGTGGGAATGCAGCCCAAAACCCATTGTATCCACCTAAATAATGGACACAAATCCTATAGCTGGTGACTTTGTTGCAGATAATTAGTCAGCTATTTCCTCACCCACATTTCAGTTTGTTGGAAAAGCAATATTGTACCAACAGTTCATCTATTAAAAGAGCATATTATGTGGGTTATATTATTGGAAAACAGCCACATGAAAACACAGTTCTTTTCCTTATATACTCAGAAGGCAAAACACATCATCTCACTCTTAGATATGTTTCTCTTTCATTCTGTTTTTAAAGGAAACTCACCGTTCGGGCACCTGTTAACTGCATAAGATAGTCTTGAATGGCATCCATATTATTTTGGCTTGTGAGATCAATATATTCCAAGTGCCCAGGCTTGATATTAATTTGTTTCAGAAGATCTAGCGCATTGTGACAGAAAGGACAGCCTTTCTTTCCAAATACAACCACTTTATCAGATGCAATATGACTAACTACAAATTGCTGGGCCATCCTAAACTTCTTAGTAGCTCCCAACAAGGGCCCAATTCTAAAGCTGAGAGAAGTGAAAACAGAAAGCAAAAAAGCACTGCAGAAGTCAGGTTATATGAGTTCCAAGCCTCCTCCTTCCTTTGAGAGCCAACATCCTGTAGGAGGAGTTGCTTCTCCGTTTCTTATTGTTAAAGAGATACACACAATGATTGCTTAATCTTTGAACTATTGCTTAGTAGAAGCATGTAGGTGCTTTCCACTCAGGGTGTGAAATGATTTGGTAACTGAGTGTTAACAAATTCCACAGTTAACTACTGCTGGTTGTGTTGCGTTTGGATTTGTCTGCTTTATTATTGTTAAGACAGACTCTGTTATAGCAACCAGCAGTTACTCACCAGGATGAAAGTTTGACAGGGTGATCTATCTGTATAATCTAACCATGGATAGATGCACAGGGAACTTACTGGAAGGGTGGAATATCAGTTTGTCCAATAAATACAATTGAAGATATACGATGAAACCCTGCCCCTTTACCTTAATGCATTTGTTTGGCTATTACAAACTAATACTATACTAATTGGAATTGCTAATATGTTTTTAATACTTGGTGGATTACACTGTAAAGTAGGAATGAGAAATTTTGATGACCAGCTTAATATTTGAAGAAGGGAATAATGATCGCAGTGGGCAGAGCACTAAGATAAAAGAGTGGGCCAACCAGGATGAAGTACTTTGAAGGTAGAATTTTTGTTTTTAAACTATGTGAAGATTTACACTGCAGGAAGTTGCAGTTTTGATAGTGGGAAGTTTTTAGCAATTGCACCTGAGAGGTGCAGTCAGAGGAGTTGCAGAGTTTTTTTGGGGGGGAAATCTTTAAGACTTTTACTAGCCCCGATTTTAAACACATGCTCTGAGCAAATAATCACATTAACTATACTGTAGTTCATCTGTTAAATAAACATGGGCTAGATTGCTAGATTGTTTAAAGTACTCAGTTTGATTCCTGGGAAGAAATATAGCCTATCTACTTATGGATATAGATTTATGACATTTGTGGAAGAATATAGTGGATTATTTGATTACCATTCCACAGTGGCTGCTGTATTGGCACAGGATGCTGAACTATAAACATTTAGCCTAGAATGTTGTATAAAGTCAGGAATCATGGAATTGTGCTTAGTTATGACTGAATATATTGTCTAAGTTGGGGTACCATTGGGGCAATTGAGAAAACACAATTAATTTAATGTTATGCAAACACAATCATGGAAAAATACATCTGCATTGAGTCTCTTCTACTGATCAAACAAATTATAATAGGCAATCCAAGGTAATTGAGGAGCAATACATGATCACAGGATTACTTCGAACAAGAAAAACCAATAGGAAGAACACTATAATCTTAATTTTAAACAGGTGATTTATTTTTATTCCAGTTTTGCATATTGCAAAATTCTAGAAATTCTAGGCAATTCACAGCTAAACAAACATGAGAATAACCACTTGATCGTCACAATAAAAATAGGATAAAAGGCAAGTTAAAAGGCAACATCCCACAATGTTAAACTGAAATGGGAAATATTAGATTAGTTTGAGAATAGTGACAGATCGAGATGTATGGTGTATATCACCCATAAAATACATTCCCCATCAATAAGCAGTTTGGAAGTAGAGATAAACATAGAGCTTAATAAATGAGATTTGATTTCATCATATCAGAATTGGTAGTAGAATCAACCTGCAATACATTTGCTTTTAAATTGAATATAGCTGATGTGAAACTTTTTGTGAGCAAAAGTAGTAGTCTGATTTAGAAAATATACGCATCTATCACTATGACTAATTAGATTATAAATTAAGGAGGTTCTAATTTATTGCTCATCCACCCAAATGTACAGTTGCAATTTACTACATTTGCAGGCAACTACCTGTTTACCTGGTCCCTTTTGGGAAAATCCTGATCAGAAGAGAGGCTATTGGACAGTTACAAAGAATTTGCTCCGAATCTGGAGGATCAAATCTTTTGCATTCATTCAGAAGGAAAGACTAGCTAAATAAACAGCTAGATGCTCCTGGAAATTTCCTCCCAGGCTGATTCAAGTGTGAGAGGAAATGGAATACTCTCCCCTGGTAGGCTAAGCTTTTTTTTTTTTTTTTTTTGCATATTTGGCTCCTGGACAGAAATTATTTAAGGCAAATGTCACGGTTTCAGTTTTCAGTGCTAGATATACACAGCTTCCTTTTTCAGACTTCAGTTGTTCCTCGGTCTCAGGATTAGAATCAAATGAGGTTGAGAGCAACAGAGAATATGTTGGTCCAACCTCCTTCTGTTGGCAGCTGCAGAGCTTTCTTTGTGATAGAAGGATATTTTCTGCAGTGGAAATGATTTATTCATGGAGTTTCTCCACTTGATTTAGATCTGAAAATTCATGTTTCATCTGCAAATGAAATGCAAGCTTAGCAGATTTGGACAATAAGTCCAGGTTAGCAAGTAGTTTTCAAAGCAAGTAGTTTGATGCAACTTCCTGAGAGCTCCAAAAGTTGCAATATTGTACAGGTAGTCTTCGACTTACGACCACAACTGAACCCAAAATTTCTGTTGCTAAGCTAAACATTTGTTAACTGGATTTTGCCCCACTTTATGACCTTTCTTGCCACAGTTGCTAAGTGAATCACTGCAGTTGTTAAATTAAAAACACGGTTGTTAAGTGAATCGGTCTTCTCTATTGACTTGTAAGAAGGTTGCAAAAGATAATCACATGACCCTGGGACACTGCAGTCATCATAAATACAAGTCATAAATACAAGCCTCTGAATTTTGATCACATGACCATGGTGCAATGGTTGTGGAAAAACAGTCATAAGTCACTTTTTTTAGTGCTGTTGTAACTTTGAATGCTCCAACACTGGAAGTTTTTAAGAGGAAACTAGACAGCCATTTGTCCGAAATGGTATAGGGTTTCCTGCCTGAGCAGCGGGTTGGACTTGATGACCTCCGAGGTCCCTTCCAACTTTATTATTATTATTATTATTAAATGTAAGTTGAGGACTACTTGTAATATGTACATATTGTACATATTGTAATATGTAATTTGTAAATTGTATTTTGTTATATCACTGATAAGGGAAATGATGAAATGCATATAATTGTGCATTAGCATATTTAATTTGGTTAAATAGAAATGAGAATGCAATTGCCATTAATTTTTCTCCTTGCCCTACTTTTTGAGTGTGGCTTGAGACATTCGGCTCTTACGCTAATGTAGATATCAATAGGGCACTACCTTGCCTTTTGAGAAAGAAGCATGCAGAGTTGAACAATGTGTATATTATGTTTCAAGCCATATAGCAGTTTTCTAAAATTTTAATAATTGATAGGCGAGTAAGACCTTTAGATAATATAACATAAATAAAGGAAGCTTGAGCTGTGGAAGCATACAACTGAAAGTTTGTTGTCCCCCAGATCAAAGTTTAAAAAGGTAACAAAATTGCCACATCACAATATCTGGTTTGTTCCTTATAGAAGCTCCACTCCCACAACATAAGGCAGTACCGATTAGCACAAAGAATCATCTCATACAAAGCATATTCATCCCCACACTATGTTATCAGTGCCAGAACAGATACTTACAATAAAACATAAGTGAAAGTGAGTCACCACGGAAATGAGATGTCTGAGGAAAGAAGAGATAAAATCAGAAATGAGATCTTAAGAGAAAAAATTGGCATAGAAACAATTTTAAACTACATACAAAACCAGAAAATAAAGTGGTTTGCTCACCTGGAGAGAATGCCATGGGATTCCATACCGTACAAGACATATACAAAAAAGAGGAGAATGTCAAAGAACGCTGGCAGACCCAGAAGAAGATGGAGAGACAAAGTGTGTCCACACTATAACAGCACCAAATAACAATGGTTGAGGCTGCCAGAAGAGCAAGAACCAGAATTTTGTATCTCCCGCAATACGTGAAGTGGTAAAAGAGGAAATAAAAAAGGAGTTCCTTTTAGGAATTATAGCCTGTATCAGAAAATTATAATATTATGGTTCAATATTATTTTTATGGGTAAAAAATAATTATTTTTCAGGCTTTATTAGTGCAATCTTGCTTTTTGCTACCTTTCCCAGATGAAAATAAACTTTGGACTTTTCTAGTAATCTATTAATTTCTTTAGAGGTTAATGAGAATTCATGATGGGTAAAACTGGAATTGTTGCAAAACATGCTGGTTTTGCTCAACAAGAACATTAGTAAACATGAAAACATTAGGATTTGCTTGAACATGAGTAAAATTTTCATGATTGCAGAATCTTGAGGACCAGAGTGTCTTGACTTGTGTGCTAGAAAATTTAATCTTTTCCTGAAGATCCTTTTGAGGTAGAGATTTACACATGTCCAATGTTCGTGTTTTAAAAACTATTAAAGAAGCTTGGCTTGTATGTGACTTTTGAAAAAGACCATTTTCTTAGCCTTTATCTCTGTTTGCTCTTAAACTGACATTTTTTTCTTTTTAATATATTAATAAAGCAAATATCTTCCAGGAGGGGGACAAATGGATCCGATACCACTTTCTTTTTCCCTCAAAAAGCTCTGGGTAACATTAAATACTTCTAAGAATTGAAGAATTCTTGTGAAAATATAAAATCATAGCGGGTTGTTCTACCCAGTTTTTCAACCTGAACATAATATTTGGGTTTCTTTTTCTTAAATAAGAAATATAAAAATAACATTTAAAACACGTTTGAATCAGAAGGTAACCCAAATATTTAAAAGACGTCCCATTCTGTGGTTTTTGCGTGAGATCAGAAAATATGACTTGGTGGAAAGAAATGACCTTGCTTGTAGCATGTGAAACTGTTTGGGCTTTGGTATCATCACCACACAGATGATACCAACTGCACATCTTAAACTTGGGCTACACAGGTGAGATTGTTAATATATTGACCCAGCATCCAGAGACTAGGTCTGAATTGGGAGGAATGGACTTCAGCTCAATCCAGCCTGGTTATTGGGCCCTCCAGGTTGTGTATATTATCAATATTGATTTTGGATGTGGCCGCACCTTCCTACTTGGGACTGAAGAAAATTTTAATGTATTCTATTTTTAAGTATTTTTAGCAAGTCAGAA